TTACAGAAGTAAAGTTTTATGGCTTGTCAATCTTACATGAATATCCCCTAGCATTCCAGGAGGTTATTGGTCCTTGGGCAAGTGAGGCTTAAAGATTAGAGGCGTTTTTGTTTTACAAATCTAAGCAAAATAACTTAAAACATAACTGTAGCTATTACAGAGGCAATAAAGGCAAGGCAGAGTAACCCTACCCCCCTCTCAACTCATAAAAAACAAAACCACAAACCTCTAGCTCCTTCTCAGCAGCAGGGTTCCCTCTGGACATTTACCTGCTGCTTTTTTACGGTGTATTTCAATAAATTCTTACTTTGTCTATTGGTGTCTTGGTGAATTCTTTACCACACACGTCACCAACCTTCCATGTGACATTTCTCACAGTAGTATTCACATAGTTCTCATTATTTTATTTTATTTATTTATTTTTTTGTTCAGTTTTGAACCCAAATGTCACCCAAGTCCAGTTGTTTTGCTAAACCCAGCCACTCAGGACCAGAAGGTACCTTGATAAAAGGGCCTAGAAAGTCTTTTACAGTACACAGAAGCCTAATACTAGAGACTTCCCAGTGTCCAGAATGAGGGAAATAAATTGTAATTGTTTAGTTGTTGAGGGAGGAATTACTCAGCCTTATCTTCATCGGCTTCCTGCTAAGATCCCAAGTCCTTGTGGCCAGAGGGACCTCTCCTTGTCTTGTCAAGTAACGTGTTGCATTAGTTGGTTTTTCTTGATCCCAGTCATTTGTGCAAGGCTCTCCAAGTTGTTAGGGGTTAGGCTCCAGATAGCTGTGTGAGACATAGGTCATTGGGGCTGAGGCTTCAAAAGATCACAGCTCGATTGTTAAAACTGGAAAGTTATTTTTGGCATTTCTGTTTCTATAAGTAAAGATCAGATGCATGACATATAGATTTTAGTTATAAAAAAGACCAGGTCCTGGAATGGGTTCTCAGAATGTCTAACAGCAGGGTTACCATGTAACAGTTGGCAAGGTAAACTAGAATTAGAACCCAGCATTTTTAAATTAACACTGGAAAAAGAAAGCACTGCTTGCATTGAAACTTCACAGAGAGAGGCAGGATCCTGTGACACTAGGAAAGCATTGGGATAGAAGATTCTCTAGGCAGGGTACTTGCTGCTCCTTGGTTGGTTGGGGTGTAAGAAAGCAGTCAGGGCACCTTGTAGGAGGAGCCTAACAGCTGGCTAGGGTTTAGTTGAGCATGCACATTAGTAATTTCCCTTTGAGTCAATCAGAAGTGGACTGTGAGGGCTAGGGACTGTTGATAGCATGATGACCTAGGCCAATGAGAGAGAGAGACAACACAGCATTCCAGATTGGCACCGCCCCTGGGTCCCAGAAGGGAGTATAAGAGGCTCCCCCATACTCTCAATACAGGAGCTGGCTTTTGCCTTTCACCAGGCTCTCTGAGTCTGAGCCAGCCATTGATTCCATGTCTTCTTACCCGCTTCACCCAAGATGCTACCCTCTTGGACTTGTCCCTTGCAACAGCACCTACATGGTTTACCATCTTGGGGTAAAGGATTTTAACATAAGTTTGGGATAAAGAGTATGTTTGCTTGTTAGCCCAAGACTATGAGTTGTCTAGCATCTCTCATCTCTGCTCCCTTCCATCCTCAGGCCTTGTTTTTAAATGTAGGGACTCTCTTCATTTTTCCCTTGATATGTCTACTTAATCTCGTTCATGGTGAGATCTGCCTCCGTGTCTGATTCTTCCCTGAATTCAATTGTGGCAGAAACTAGGTGATTGCCTGCAAATGTTCCTTGACCAGTGTTTTCTGCATATGCCCCACCAGTTTTTCAACAGTAAACTTAATTTTAGGCAATTTATATTCACAGAAAAATTGGGAGACTTAGTACAGGCCATTCCCATATGTCATTCAATCTCCCTATTAGATATTAATATTAAATTACTATAGTATAGGTCTTAAAATAATGAACAGGTTTTGAAGCACTGTAAATCACCAAAGTTTTATTCAGATTCCCTTTTCTGTTATCTAATGTCTTCATCCTTGCTCCAGGGTTTCAGATTTCATTTGAGCCCCATCCTCTGAGACCATTCTCTACTCCATAGGCAGTGGAAATTCATAACTTTATTAGGACTGCTATAGCTTGAATATGTATGCTCTCTACATCTCCCCTTAAGTTCCCATGCTGAAATTCTAACCCTGTGTTGGTATTATGGGATGGGGACTTTGGGGAGGAGACTAGATCACAATAGTGGAGCCTTCATGAATAGCATTAGTGCCCTTCCGGGAGACCCAAAGAGTTCCCCGGACCCTTTGGAGGTTTCAACAACAGACAAGTTGGCCTATGAAGCAAGAAATGGGACCTCACTAAAAACCAAATCTGCCAGCTGCTTCATCTTAGACTTAGACTTCCATGTCTCCAGAATTGTGATAAATAAATTTTACTTGTCTGTAAGCCATCCAGTCTAAGCCATTTTGATCCAGCAACTCCAAAGAACCAAGATAAAGCCTTGACAGTTTTGAAGTTTGCAGGTCAACTCATTATGACTAGAACTCTCTCTTTTGGTGAGGAAGGCCTCAGGCAAAGAGCCATTTTCATCACATCAGTTACCCTCTGTTAGTGTGACACACCAATGATGATGCTGGTGAAGTTCTCCCCAAAGCTACGAAGTTGCTCCATGGCTCCATGGCTTTTTATACCGTTTGAGTGATGCTCTACCGGAGAACAAAATAGCTTCACCAATGATCTCTAATTCTTCCATGGGGAGGATTCTTTGCCTTCATGCAGCAGTTAATTCCACATGCATCTGTATTCCATATCAGTGCAGGTATATGGATGTTTATTTTCTACTTTGCATTATAAATAAACAAATCAAAAGTAAAACTGCTTGAATTTGTTGCTCAAATTGTTTCTGCTTTGAAACCCTTTCAGTAGTGGCCTGTGACTTTCTCTTATATAACAGGGTGGGGTTACATTTTTTACATTTTTGCTCTTTGACTTTTTTTTTCCTTTGGGAGGGGTGAGCTTCTTCTTGACATTACAATACGGTTGATGTTCACTGTACACTGGTTGGGAATCTTCCCTGCCTCCTCCCAGTAAATTTTTTCTAAGGAGCATTGTTTCCTTTTGTTGAGATATGATGTGATAAACCACATTTGGGCCCTAAGTGAGTTGTTATCCTCAGGAGTCATTGGCTCTGTGGTCCTCTCAACTCACAGAACAACCACAAAGTAAGGGGCTTATTAACCCTTGAGTGTAGGCATTCGCACAAATGCTTCTATAGGTAGACGGCTGATTTTAAAAGCCAGGTTGGGAAGATGACCCAGTCAATAAAAAGCCTGTCATACAACCATGATTATCTGAGCCTGGATCGCCAGAACCCACACAACAGCTAAGAGTGGTGGGCATTCTGTAACACTAGCACTGGTGTGAGAGGAGTGGAGAGATGGATCTCAGGGTTCACTGATCAGCCTTTCTAGATAGCTAGTGAGCTCAGGGTTCAACATTAGCCACTTTCTCAAAAAAATAAGGCAGAGTGCAGTAGAGGAAGACATACAACATTGGCCTCTGACCTCCATGCACATGTGAACATGTACCTGAATGTCTGTGCATACACACAAATATTTACGTATGCATATGCCACGCACATCCACAGAACAACAACAAAACCCATCACGTCTCTTACTGCACCATGAAAACATTTTTGCAGTTGGTCTGGGGTGTGACCCTGGACTTGGAAGGTATCAAAGGTTTATAAACTTTTTGCAATGTGACCCTAACGTTTATTTAACCAGGACTACTTGCCAGTCCCTTGAACTTTAGCCAGATAATGGCAATCATATCACACTTAATCACCTCACTATACTATGACTGTCTCAGAAAATGGCATCTCTGCCTTGCTACTCAGGGGACTGGAGAAAGATGTCCCCAGGCATCCTCATTGCTGCCCCTCTTCTTAGGATGCCTCCACACCCAACTCCAAGAATGGTTGCATTTATTGTGTCTGACTCTGGGCTCTGGGGAGGACTTTCCATCTCTGCCTCCTAGGTTGGTATTGTCTGCATTGAACAGATTTGTAACTGGGAACCTGAGGGAGTTCAGTGACTGCTAATAAAGCGCAAGCCTGTGTCTGGGTGCGTTCCAGGCTGACTTAAAACTCAGAGCCTCGTCAAGAGCTGCCTCTTCCCTTCCTTAAATACATACCATTCTTGGTCCGTGGACTAATAATCTTCAGGTGGAGCCACGTAGCTGAAGTGAAGGGTCCTGAATCCCAGGTCCTCACGTTAGGTTCTACATGCCCCTTACTTTCCCAATCTTCTTCAGAATTTAAAGATCTAAGGGTATTTTAACTTATTACCAAACTTGGGGGGGGGTGCCCTGTCTCTGACTCCTCCTCATTCTCCTCTCTGTGATTTAGTCATATCCACAGCCTGCCACTGCCCTCCAACCTTACTGTGACCGGTGACATTCCCATATGTCACTTTCCATATACCAGGCTCCCCACTGCTGCCCCGAGTAACCACACCTATCATTGGCCTGGTCCCTTCCCAAAGTGTTATCACCCAGGCCATAAGCTGTCCTGGCGCTGATCCCTGCTCCCCTTATATTCAGCCAGTCCCCACATTTCCACCATTCAATACTTATTACACCCATTTCTTTCCTCCATTGCCCTAGAGTAGGCATAGTCTCCGCAGCCAGACTTCCTCCTTCCTATCCCTAGTCTCCTTGCTGTGATTATGATCCGGAACACCCCAAGTGCAGTTTCCTGAACACTGCCAGGACTCCTGAGCAAGTAAATTCTGCTCCAAAGTCTGCTCCTCCTAGCCTTCCAGGTTCCACTTCAGCTTGGGTCTACCAAGCTTCAGTACTACAAGCTCAGCTTCAGCCCTTGCCTAAGAGCCAATCCCGATGTAGTTTTCAGTATCTTCTCGGATCAGCTTGAGAGGTCCATCGTGATTGGCTGTTTCCGAGTCTCGCGAAGCTCCGCCCCCGAGGTGCTGGCCTCTGCAGGAACCCGGAAGTATGAGCCTGGAGATGGAAGAGGATCGCAAAGTGGATCTCAGCGAGGCCCTGGCGCTGGGGCCGGAATGGCGCCACGCCTGCCACGCGCTGCTCTACGCTCCCGACCCCCGCAAGCTGTTCGGCCGCATCCCGATGCGCTTCGCTGTGCTGGTGAGGACGCGACATGCCGGGCCGCTCCCCGCCCAGGAGCCCGCGCTTGCCGGCCAACCATCATCCCCCTCCTCCCCTAGATGCAGATGCGCTTCGACGGGCGCCTAGGCTTCCCTGGCGGCTTCGTGGACACGCAGGACAGCTGCCTGGAGGACGGGCTGAATCGTGAACTGCGCGAGGAGCTGGGCGATGCCGTGTCAGTCTTCCACGTGGAGCGCTCCAACTACCGGAGCTCACACCTCGCGGTCAAACTACGAGTGGTGGCCCATTTCTATGTCAAGCGTCTGACGCTAGAGCAGCTGCTGGCTGTGGAAGCCAGGGCACCTCAAGCTAAGGACCACGGGCTGGAGGTGGGGCCATCCTGCTACCCACTCCATATCCTGTCTGCCCTCTCCCATTTGTCTCACCTAAGAAAGCTACTGGGTGGAGGAGATTTTGACATTGTACTCTTTCAAGTGGCGTGAACTAGTTGGGATCTTGATTAATTATTTCCAAGCTGGTTAACACCACCGACTTGGTCTCCTTTAGTAGCTTTTGCAAAAAAAAAAAAAAAAAAAAAACAAACAAAACAAACACACACACACACACACACATGCTCTCTCCTACTGCCTAGGCTAATACTCATGACACTAAACCCTTCACTTTGGGCCCATATTTTCCCTAAGCAGAAAATGTGACAATGGTTCTAATGCTCCAACTGTAGATGAGGGTCTTACTGAAACGGATTACTGTGCATACTTGGGCAGTGTGTAGACTTAACAGTCTATCAGAATCTATCACTGGTTGCGTGAGGAGATCAGAGGAGAACTTGGGTATTTGCATTTTTCTTGATCACGAAGTGATACCTGTATAGTTGTGTAAATTCTGTGATCGGAAATACTGCTACAGACATGCCTGCCCCTGGAGGCAGTAGCCAATGAAGGTGAGGGGAGAGATGGAGAAGGATTAGCATGGATGGAACTAGATACCCAAGCAGGAGTTATTTGTTAGCTTTCCTGTGGTGTGATTATTGGGCCTGGTTCTGCCTGGTTGTTAGGTTAGATCTCTACCTACCAAGGTAGGTAAGGTAATGTGTTGAGATACTTGAAGTCCCACTTGTCACCTGTCTGCTTTTCATAGGTGCTGGGCCTGGTGCGGGTGCCTCTTTACATCCTGCGTGATGGTGTGGGAGGCCTGCCCACCTTCCTGGAGAATGCCTTCATTGGTGCTGCCCGGGAGCAGCTACTAGAAGCCATTCAGGATTTGGAACTCATGGATCCTGGCACTATTGCAAACCTCACCATCCCATCTTCTAAGGAGACTCAGCCCACCATGGACCCATGAAACCCAAGATGAGGGCTTTGGTATAGGGAAGGATGGTGGGAGGCATGGCCAAATGCTTTTCTTTGGGGGCTGAAAGGTGATAGTTGATACAAGATTAAAGACAGGTATATATGCAGTTTGTTTTCAATAGAGGACCTTGTCTGATGGCATTGGGGATAAAAGGCTGTGGTTGTATCTCAGAGTTCCCTCTTACACATGGATCAACAGCTGGAAGCTCCTGGGATGCATATGTATAGTCTGTGATCGCACACAGCCTGGCTCACTCTCATCTGTCCAGTTTGTTTGTGATGTGGCCTCAGGCACATCCCACTCTTTCCTGGTAAATGGGTGTGGGGTTCTTTCCCATCTGCTGCAAGGCTACTGTCCAGGGTCCAGCCCAGACCATTCTTGTTAGGGAAACAGGGGAGGGGGTTTCTTTCTGAGAATGGCCTTGGGTTGCCTGAGGTTTGAGCAAAGCTGTGGGTTTCAGAAAGTTTGGTAAGGCCCTAAGCAGCCTTACACCCTTTTCTTCACCAACTGCTGAAGGTTGGAAGGGGTCAAGGACTTCTTGGGCTGAACCTAGATCTGAGACTTCAGTTCTGATGCCTCTCTTCCAGCATGTTCATTTCTGAGCTCCATTTGTCTCTGTCTAGACTGCTCTTCCTTGTATGGTAACACAAGTAGAGGCCTGTTATTCTTGTCTTCCAGACTTCCGAGTGAGGAGTAGGCACACCCACTGCATCATAAATAAATAACACTTTAGTAAATACTATAAGTTTTTGTCAGCCATGTGGTGTTCAGGAATACTTTAACTCTGTCATGTCAAACTTACCTTACGTAGTTTGTGTTGTTGGGTCCCAACAAAATGCTAATGGAAAAGCAGGTGTGGGATTTCTGGACCATAGTTTATTAGTGACTGTTCTACAGGGACAGCTAAGTTACTGTTTGTAGTGCAGCATGTGTATTTGTTTACAAGGGAATAAATGGAGGAATGGATATGGTTCTGTTGACATTCTTTGACTTGGGCTGGTCTGGAATGGCCCTGGTAAAGAGCATCTAAGCAGAAAGAAGAAAGGGGTAGTCACAAAGGAATATGGAAAAAAGTGTGTAAGGGGGCATGTGTGAAGTCCCTGAGGTGGAAAGAATCTTAGCATAACATCCCAGGACATACTTCTTAATCCTGATCTTGGGACATGTTTCATAGTCTAGTAACTTATTTATTCCAAGATTGTTCCTGTGATTGGTGTGGATCTTTGAAAATTCTCAGTGGGGGCTGGGGATGTAGCTCATGTAGCTTTGCCTAGCATGCATGAAACCCTGAGTCTAAACCCTGGTGTTGCATGAATAACACCTGTAACCCCAGTGCTAAGGCAGGAGGATCAGAAATTCAAGATCATCCTTGACTATGGACTTCAAAATCAGCCTGTGATTTATGAGAGCCTTTCTTCTTCTTCTTCTTCTTCTTTTTTTTTTTTTTTTTTTTTTTTTTTTTACAGCAAAAGTGTAGATAGTGTTGAACTGGTAGATAGGGCCTGTCAGGAGAATTCAAGGTAGCTTCATTCATAGATCAGACATCTTAGTAGAGATGGTTCAAAGACAAGGCTCAGCTGACCAAAGCCCCTATAGGTTGCCTCACCAATATGGTGATCTAGTTAGATATTCATCCATGACTTGGTGCCCAGAAAAGGGTACCAGGGGACTAGGACAGAAGCTGCAAGATGACTGATAGTCAGCCAAGTCATTTAATATTATAGTCATGGGTTGGGGATTAGATTCTTTTTCCTGCTGCTGGCACAATGGGGCAAGTGATGAAGGGCCCACCACCAACACTGGCAGGGGCCTGATGTAGAACAGAACAGGGTTACTATAGCTAGACATCAGTACGCAATGGGAGGCTGTGCTCAAGAAATGGCATAACTTTTGGCACAAGATCACACAGGCCATGGGGATGGCCAGGTGCATGTTTTGGGCAAGTCACTCCTGCTGTGGATGGGAAATCTGAAGGACCCGGAGAAACTCGTTAAAGTAGTTTCCATGGGCACAGACAGGCACGGGAGGGGAGGTCATGGTGTAATCTGACAGAGCCTGGTTGTTGGAGGAAGGTAGGGATTCAAGGATGACTTTAAATTTTGAACTACAAGGTGTTCATTTTGTGGATGGCACGGCCCAATGCATAAGGGAACAAGGTTTGAAGACCTGGGGACATAAATCTGAGTCACCTCAGTAGAAGACATGAAAACTATTCTGAGACTGTCCATAGAAAAAAAGTAGTGGGCAGGTCAAAGCCCCGAGGGTTGAGGGGACAGGTAGGACATGGTAAAGGAGACAAGGAACAAGGGGAAAGCAGGAGTCACAAACTGAACAACTCAGGTGCTTTCCGAGAGTTCTGGTGGCCAGTCATAAAAGTCCATTGCATTTAGCATGGAAGCTTTTGATGGCTTTGTTTAGAGCAGTGTCAGGAATGTGATAACAGAGGACAAACAAACCAGTTGACAGCAGTCCACCAAGGCAGGGTTGAGCTGTGAGGTGTTCGATTTAAAGGAGAAACTAAAGGCTATATATTCAGTTTTTTTTTTTTTTTCCATAGTTGGTTGCTACAGTGGGAAAGTAAGCATTCTACTGGGGGTGGGGTGAGGCTGTACATATGCATCTCCTTTTCCCTTCCCACGTGTGATGAAGAGTCTCTGACTGCTAGCTTGACTGGATTGTGAAGTGTCTATGAGATTAGTAAAACAACTAGGTGTGGCTGTGAGATGGTTTCTCAGAAAGATCATGATAGCCCTGACCCACTCAATGGTATAATCTGTTGATGGATTCAAAATTGGAACTATGAGAGGTATAGCCTAATTTTAAGAAGTGGGTCCCTGGAGCTGTGTATATATAGCCTGGTCCTGGCCCAATCCTGTTACTCTTCTTTGCTTCCTGATTGCCCTGAGTTGACCAACTTTTCTCTACCATATCCTTTACTCATGCTGTTTCTGCCTTGCCATGGGCCTCAAGTCAGTGCAAGCATCCAGTCATGAACTGAAGCCTTTGAAAAAATGGGTTGAAATCAACACTTCCCTTATAAAAATTTCCAAAGGGTGACAAAAAGGTGTTCAGAAACTGATGGAGACACACACCGCAGAGCTGGGCTTATTTCAGGGAGGAGGAGGGGGAGAGGTTAGAAGACCAGCATAGAGGAGGTTGCAGTGATTGGCTGTGGAGGCATAATGTCTAGTCTGGATAAAATGGACACAAAGAGACAGCTGCTTTGAGAGTAATGGTCCAGTCTTAATGGTCTTAATGAGGTAGGACGTAGGAAGTGGATCTCAGGCAAAGAGAAACAGTTGTGTTTGGGGAGCTGAAGTGAACTCAGGGACAGTGAAGGACCAGGTGAAAACAAGGAGTGGCTGACCAGAGGTGGGAGACAAGCTGTAAAGGGATGAAATCCAGGCCTGGAGATGCAGTGTTGGGTGAACTGCCAAGTAGGTTATGATGCCAGAAGTGGACCCCTGTTAGAGACGAGATGAGCATCAGGAGCCACCACCCTTGGTGACTAGGAATGACCAGAGCTGACAGAAGGACAGAGTGGACATATCAACACATGGTTTCCCAGGCCAGTGGCACTTGAAAGGGGGGAAGATGGACAAAGCACTGGGGAGAGCAATGTGGAATCGTGGATGCCAGCAACCCAGATGGTGGAGAAGTAGCCGAAGAAATAAGGACAATGGCATTAACTTTTCTTCAGGAGATGGGAACAAACATCTGCTCACTCCAGACTGGGCACCAACAAAACACCAAGTACCAGTTACATCCAGGTCTAGGTTTGCCAACCAATAGATTTATTGTGCTTGCTTATAGGATCATGTAGTTTTTAGCTTCTCATCAGGGCCACTAGCCCCCAAATAATAACATGAAGACTTATTATTAATTATGGCCTTTAACTAATGCATGTTCCACTAGCTCTTATATCTTAAATTAACCTTTTGCTATTAACCTACATTCTGCCACTTGCTATTTTTTTTTAATCTCTCCTTCATTCTCTGTGTCTAAATCTCCACATCTTGCTGGCTGCTCCTGCCATGCCTATTTCTTTTTCCCAGCATTCCTCTCTCTCCCCTTGAAGTCCTGCTTATTCTTTTCTGCCTAGTTATACAGCTTTTTATTAAACCCATCAGAAGGCACCTTGGCAAAGGCACATATTCACAGTGTACAACCATTATGTAACAGGAGCCTATATGAGGGATTAGTTAGAGGAGGGAGGGAAGGAGAGAGAGAGAGATTATGTTTAAGATTGTACACTTGATTGAATGTAGAATCATCTTCAAGATAAGCCTCTCTAGGCATACCCATGAGCAATTGTTTAGAGTAGGTTCTGAACACTCACATTTACATTGGATGCCACCATTCAGAGGAGAGTGCTGGGCCCTGAACTGATGAAAGTGAGTTGGATACCTGCATTCATCTCTCTTCGCTTCCTCATTATGGATGAAGTGTGATGAGCTGCCTCAAGATCCTGCTGCCACAAGTTTCATGACATCATGAATGGCACTCGCAAACTGTAAGCCAAACCAACCCTTTCTCCCGTCAGTTTCTTCCTTTAAGGTATTTGATCAAACAAGGAGACAAGTGTCTAACCCTCCTAAATAACTACAACAATAATAACTTAAAAAAAAAAAAACAAAATAACAACAAAAAAGAATACCTACCTAGCATGAGTGATTACCTCCCCATAGATGCATACATGAAGTCTCTCCTTCGATCAGTATTTTATCTCCTATGTACTCACGCACTGCTGAAGGCCAAATACAGCTAGGGCAGATGGATGAGTATGCAGGAGGGAGCAGGCTTGACTCTCAGGTGAGCATGTAATGACCCTTCCTTCTCCCTCCTTCTGTGAGGAAATATCAATCTGCAATCCTGGACTTGTTGAGGGTCTCGTGTCAGTTACAACAATTACAATTAAATTAACAATGTCCATGTGATGCAGACATGACAGTCCATAGCACAGATCTCATCACCCTGTCCTTTCTACTGTCTCAATCCTGACCTTTGTGTCTATTATTTCTGTCTGTTAGATTTAACTGTCACCTTGACACAGTCCAGAATC